GCATGATGGGGGCATCAAGGGGCTGTGCAAGTCCAAGGTCGCCTAACACAACTTGGGGCAGCGTTGGCACTGCGGTATTGCTTTGGGCGCCAGATAACTCCCCCGCAGGCGGTGAATTGGCCTTGCCCAACTCCGGCTCACCGGGGACCCACGGGGTGGAAAGAAGGATGTTATCGACCTTTACGTCCAGATGACAAAGAGAACAGGAGACATTAAGAAACTGTAACGCACAGCAGAGGCTTCGTGCCACGTGCTGAATTTCCTGCACGGAAAAAAGCAACGCCATGACCGTCTCACCCAAGTCGTTTAAGGAAATGTCGGGGAACGAAGAGCCGGACGGGGGGGAGCCGGTGCACAGTTTGCTACGAGCCTGGATACATTCCCTCAGTGAAGAGGGATAGAATTCGAGCGGAAACCAAAAAGCATCCCTCCTAACATCGTACATGATATCCCCAACAAGACTGGTCACAAGTCGAGCCCCTTGCAACAAGAAACTTTGAGCATGCAGGCGGGACTCAAGAAGGCTCATTGAAACATTGCATCCTGGGTGTGCCGCCTGCTGCTCTTCCTGTTGGGACTGCAGGGCATCATTTGCCTCGGCGTCACGAAGCGCATCTAGTTCCTTTTGCAGCATTTGCACCTCGTCTTCCAAGGACTGTCGACATACCGTCACGCGGCGCAGGGATTCAGCCTCGTCCAGTGACCAAACCGCCTGTATACGACTAACCTTTATAGCGACCAGGCGACCATTTCCTACACCAGTGAGGGCGTTTGTATCGCTCTGATATTCGTTTTCATCTTTTTGATCCGCCCCCTCCTTCGCCTCAGATTTAACTATGGCGGGAATCACAAAACCATAGTTGCCACGACCAAGACATATGCCCAAGCTGCTTTTGCCCAAAGAAACAGGACAGCTGTGGCGAAAGTAGGCTTCTAACTCCTCCTCACTCAGCAGAGGGGTAAAAGGAGACCCTCTTGCATCGGGGTAAATCGAACTTAGCTCCTGCACCGTCGGTTCTGTTGCACGGACTAACCTCGCACCGGCGTCCTTATTCTCATCCTCGACGCAGCCCTTGTCTTCTTCAAAACTTGCCAGCTCTTCAGAAAAATGGCTCTGCCTCCGCTCACTCGATACCGCTTCTTCTCGCTGCGCACCGTCAGGGCAAGAGGTGCCGGTGTGCATGGGCCCACCTGTCCGCCGGGGCGCGCTCCACTCATGAATAAACCCCATGACATCCTCCGGGTGCGCAGTGACGAGGTCCATGATGAGATGATCGACTATTTCCCGCACGCCACACCGCCGCATCCAGCGATCACTAACATCGGACGGTAACGAAGGACATTCCTCACCCATCGTTGCCTTTCCCAGTCACTCTACCTCTTTTCTACAAGACAAATGAGAACACACTCACAATAATAATAATAATATTCCAATCCTTTTCTTTTTTGCTGTCTCCACTCTGGCACGTGGCTGGGCTCTTGAGCCATACGCAAAAGAGGGAAAAAAAGAAAAAAAAATACGTATATTTGGTGGAGTTCGCAAACATCACACCACGCATGCATGAGGCATAACCAGATGGCCCGTGCACCTCCCACAACAACTTCCGGAGCAGCCACAAACAGCACGAGTGGGAAAGTGACAACACAATAGCACACGTAAGAAAGAAAATAATAATAAGAAGAAGAACTAAGATAAAAAGAAAAAAAATTTGTCCAACAGCAATGACCTTATTCTCTTTTCTGTAAGCATTCATGCACGCTCCTTCACTCTCTTTTTTTTTTTTCTTCCTTCCTTCCTTTTGTCTTTCCGGTGTGTGTGTGTGTGTTTTCCCGCGCTCGCGTATTCTTCCGGGGGGGGGGGGGGGGGGG